AACCTCAGCTTCCCTGCCCCCCTGGTGACTAACACAGTTTGAGAGCTAAAGAGGAGCTTGCAGGTCCTATGGTCATTCTCTCCTGCTAAGCGATAAGAGAATTGCAGTTTCTCTGCTCCAGTTATTTACTTGCAGCTTCCACATGCTGCACCTCATCACACTTGTGCCTGGTGTACCAGGAGAAACCCATCTATACTGCTACTCCCCCACAGCCAAGCCCTACACAAGGTTAAATGAATATTCAACCTTCTTCTGTGCAAGTTAAACATACTAAGCTTACTAAGTCTTTTACTTACTGCTTCACTGTGTGAAAAAGAATAGTGTTGTAATATTACTACTCCCATAAATATTTAGAGTGAATTTGTACTTAAAAAAAAAAATCAAAGTATGTGCTAAATTAAATGGAACAGGTTACATCTGCTCTTAAAAAAAAAAAAAGCCAGCCACAAAAAACCCCACACCACTTTCCACCATTTTTACTTTCTGCTTCTGGAACAGCACACACAAAGCTCTTGCTCACAATCACTAGAAATACTGAGTTAATATTAGTGTTGCCACCATTAACTCCTTCCCACTAACTTTTGTACAAAAGCAAGTATCATTTATTATTATCAATATGAGCTAAAAGAAAATCCTCAGTGATACTTCACTGAATTCACACTGGGGAATTCCACTTCTCTCACATGCCTCCTTTTAAATAACTTAAATTGCAATCTATATTGCATTATACTCTTAGCGTTGTTCATCTGCAGACACAAAAGAAGCGCTCTGATATCCATTCTAATCAACAACATGGTAATTAACAAGTATCGTGAACTAAGTAAGTTCTGGACTTATGCTATAAAAACCAACATAAAGTAAATGCTTATACTGAATTAAAAGGAAAAAAACCCAACCTACTTACCACAGAATTTCTAAGCTTTTCAGGTAAAGGATCTTTTACTTCAGACAGAGGATCCTCAGGGTTTTTGTCTTCAGAATTAGGAAAAAATTTTGATTGCACTAAAGAGCTGAAAGACAGACAAAAAAAACCCACATTGAAATGCACGTATTGTTCTATGTGGTTTTAGAAGAATAATGAAAGAGACAGAAGTTCTATTACAAGAAAAAAATAATCCTGGCATATTAGTCCTTTTACATGGCTGAACAAATTTACAAAAATGAGATCTCAATTTTATACACAGTGACCACCATTAGGGATGAGTGGCCAGATGTTGTTCAAACAGCAATTTCTCCACTACCAACAGGAGTAACTGAACAAAAACTGAATTTTAAGTGGAGTTGTTAGCACTCATGACACAAAACTTCAGTTCATAAATAACTGAACAGAACTGTAACTTGGTGCAAATTTTAGAAGTGGTCTATTTGTCAACACCAATTAGAAAACCAAGAATTCCTTGATTTAATTCAAACTTCAAGAGCAACAACAACAAAATCTATACTACCCTGATTAATTAATGAATTAGCCATGCTGACCAAACTGCTAAATTCTTAGCAGACCTTGCTGGTACTAAAGCCCAAGAAACGTACACCTAAGCTTTCAGAAGACCATGCGCAGCACTGCTAGCCATACCCAAGTGCCTCACAACCCCACAATGTGATTTTTCTTACAATACCCTATGTGATACAGAAATAAGTATTATTTCATTTTATGGATAGGAAGCTCACTACAGAATGAGCCCTAGATCTTCAAAGGCAATGTACAACAATGCTTAACTGTGCCACATGTGGCTAAATAGGTGAACCTGCAGGTCAAACATAAGCATCCAGGCTATAGTGCTTGGAGAGTACAAAAGAACAGGTATCTAGGGACAAGGACCTCATACCAACTGAGTAAAGTCACCTGAGCAGGACAAGGTTTAGTTGTCAACCCAAAGATAAGAATTTTCCTTCTGTGTGAACACTCACGAATCATTAATCTCCCTGTCCACAGTAGAGGCCCCTCACTATCTACACCCCAGACTACTGCTTATCAAATTCATCCAACATAAAGGCTAAATTTAAATCCAAGTTCAAGCTCTGCCTAACCCAGGTATGTGACTGAGCCTCTATTGGCTATTTTGTGGGAGGCACTTCTGCTACTGGAACTGTTTTGTTTTACACACATAATTATTAACCGAATCAGAAATACTCTCAGCATCAGATCAATACTCCAACTCAGAATAGCAACATGAATACTTGTTTCCCCATGCTAGACAGGAATGCTCATCAACAAAACAGATCCTTATTGTTCTGCATCTGAGAGTAAATGATTTGAACAAATGCTTTGAGCATACATTCAAGATAAGAACACAGTAACAAATTAAGTGAGAGAAACAGTTCAAAAAATCCACATGTGGGCTTCAGCTTAAACTAGTGCTTTGAGCACCTCTTTAAATACAGAATGGGTACAGGTTGTTCAGCACAAATGCACCAGCAGAAAGATGGCACCTGACTGGCATTTTGGAGAACATCAGCAGGCAGTTAAATCAGATTTTGGCATGTAAGTGATTTGCCAGAAGTCACAAAGAAAGGTTGTCATTAGAGAAGGAACTACATGCAAAATTTGAGAATTTCTAACTACTGAACCAGTATATTATTTTTGATAATGCTGGTGGACTACCAGTTCAAAAAGTACTAATATCTAACATTATTTACAATGTTGCCTTGCAACTTGCTTCTTCCTTGGGAAAGGGACACAAACTGAGTAACTTACAAAAGTACAGAAGGGTCACTACTTTGTCTGCTGAGATGATACGATATTGCCACTAACAAACCACAAAATATGGAGAAGAGAACTGGAATATGCTGCCCATCCCAAGAATCCTGGAGACAGAAATGAAATGTTAATAAAAAGGAGACAAAGTATAAAACATTCATCTGATACAAGAATTGTGTGTATCATAGTAAGAAAACAGAAAAATTAACTACAATGCCACAAAAATAAAACAGGACTTTTAGTACAAAAATACTGTTTAATATTTACCTATGTCCAACTATAGATCAGAAACTCTAATATACTGTATATCCCTTAAGCTTACACGTCTTAACCATTAAACAGTCATCAGTTATCATAATCCTTGTGAATAATTTCCTGCATTCCTTGAGACCACTGGTTCTTAAGAGTTGCATTTAGTCACTTCTTAATCTGGAAAGTTACATATGTTTTTATTCAGATTTTTTTTTCTAATGTGCTGAATTCAGATTAAACCAGTGGTTTCATTTTTGTTTTCATGATCTGTACTGGATCTGCAAAGATGAGACAGTGATTCTTTGCTAAAGCTTGTTTATCTTGAACAGATGTGTTTACAAAAGGCTAATGAGACAAATGGACAAATTCACAGGAAGCTAATGATGTTCTGTGGGTGATAGCACCATAGGGTACTCCACAGGGAGTATTTCCTCTAGCAACTTTTTACTCTCTGTGACAGAGTGGAAAAAAAGCCAGTCAACTCTGAGTTGGAAGGCACACGTGCTACAATTACTTGTGAACTGAGAGCATTTGATTATTGACACACACCTGAAACCAACAGACAGAACCAACACCACATTGTTTTCAACAGAATGGCATTTCAAGCAAGGAAAAGCTGTTGGTTTCACCCCACACACACACCTTCCCAGCTAACACTACCTTTTAGATAGTCACACGTCTTCACTTTGACACTACAAGCTATTTGCTGGTTTCAAGTAAAGATTCATTTGAAAAGACTATTTCTTGTTTGCAGCACTGAAAAAATACTCACATGAGCCATTTTGAGAAGTTAACAAACCAATACACGAAGACTGTGCTAGAAATAAGCCACTTACGTGACTTTTTTTTTTTCCCCCCTCAAGAGCCACTTATAGAATGGAACTGATGGTAAATATCATGTGTTTTCGGCCAAAAAAATAGCCTGTTAGTGCAGGCACAAAACCTTTTAAAAGCAAAAAATCTGCTTTGTTCCTGCATTGCATTTCCTTTATGACATCACAGCTGAGCAAGTAAAAAACCCTACCAAGTCAGCTAGTATTTCTAATTCACTTTCTGCATATTTCAGTATCTAAAATACAAGGAGACAACCCCCCCAGAACATTAATGTATGCCATGTCTAAAATTTTGCTCACCTTCAGGGCACCATAGCACAGTCCATACAACAATGCTACTGCCACAATACTACAGATAAAACTGTAAAGTGCTGCAAGCAGGCTTGTGGTAGCTGAATATCATAGAAAAGAAAGAAAAAAATTAAAGTCTTATGTAATTAGGTTACAATACAAAATACTTCAGATTGTTTAAGAAAGTTATCAAGCCCCCTAGTTGCAACACCCCTCTGACATTAAAAAAAAAAAAAAATCCCACCTGCAGTCACTACTTGTAAGAGCAATTTATGTGGCTTTATTTACTTCCTCATTTATTCAGCAGCATTACCATGGGAATGCTTAACAACTACAACATAAACCAGTCAAAGAAGCAAGTATACTTTTTGACAGGTTTACTAGGACAGTAATTCTATTTCTCAATGATCAGTTAGAAGACCTTTAGCCTTTTTAAAAATACAGTTAGTATTCTATGTTTAGAGGGTAGGAATACAAATAGCGTAATCACCAGATTTTTTAACTAGCCTAATCATCTGATGGCCGCTCCTAATTTGATGCTTTTGTCACTAACATAAAAAACAACACTCACCATTACCACCGAAGACATGAATATCTAGCTGTTCACAGAGATACATCACAAATGTATTCACCTGAGGCAGGAGACCAATGAAGAATACTATAGGGAAACATAGTGTAAACACTACGGAGGGAAAAAAAAAGTAGTTGAAAAGTGGTGAATATGAAAAATACAGCATGGTAATGTACTGTTCAGTTTAAGTTCTAAGGTATCATACACACACCATTTAACTCAACCTCACTGAAGTATTTCTACTACTATTTCTAAGGAAAATCTCCATTATGTAAATCTCTACTTCAGTGACTCAGAACTGACTAAATATAGAGGTTACATAGACCAATAGTCAGAAGACTTCTTGTATTTCCATTTTAATCGCTGTAGAAATGAACACAGGAAAATTCAGGCTTTCCATTTTTATTCATCAAAGATCAGCCAAGACTGTTTACAAATTAGAAGATTTGTAACTTTTCACTCATCGTAAATGAGGCTTATCCAAGCCTAACTGATTGTCCGGAGCAAGCTAACACCAGCCACACTGACGTAAGAGAGGCCAAGCATTTCACCTCTGCGTTTTCTGCCACTAATAACATCTGACAATTCTACTCATTTTCCCACATCTCTTCTGAGAAGTTCTCGTCCTAAACGACTTTTTTTTTTTAAAATGAAAACTGGCAACTGTGATGCAGATATAACAATCTTTTACATAACTGTTAAGTAGTTCAGATACAATTCACAAGCAGCAGCACATGAGTTCTAAGTTCTGAGAGTTAGAATGATCAAACCATGAAAATAACCCTAGCAGACAAAACCTGACAGCTTAGGGAACATTTTTTATAACCTTAATGACTTGTAGTTTCAGTGACCAAAAGAAGAAACCAATTGTAAGAGTAACCTGTAAAGAATCACAGTCTCAATTTTAAGTTTCTAACTTCATATCCACAGAATGGTTGGATACTGAAGGATACTATTAGAAATATCTACAGTGAGATAGGTACTGAGAATCTCATTATTTTTTTTTTTTCCTACTCCTTGGTAAAGTTAAAAAAAGAAATGTTTTTTAAAAACATGCAAGTTCAGGGCTTGGGAAAAACACTGAGTTCCGCATCTTTTTAATGATACAAGTTAGGAAATATAAGACTAAGGACCAGTTAACTCAGGACCCGAAGAAGATAATTTTTCAAAATTCTCAAGTCAAACCTTTATCTCAAATCATTACTCAAGGAATCCTACACAGGAGGCAAACAACAAACTGTTCTCCCACTGACAGCTTAAAAAGTTGTTTCATGAAGGCCTGTAAGTTGAACTATCTTGAGTCCACTGAAAACAGAATTACAAAATACATCTGGGAATATACAATTTATAAAGAGTAGTAAAAAACATTTCTGATGGCTTTTAAAGTCCATAACAGAATTGCTGTCTAATGTGGGCCACCTTGGTGAAAATAGAAAATAATTGTTACAAATGTGGAGCAGTTCTAGACCAATTGATCGAAGTCCAATATGTGGGACACAAAATAAATAAATAAAATTATACCAGTCCTCACTTGTCTGTTGGCAAGGACACACCAATTATGTTATCTAAACACAAGTTTGCCTTGCCCTGCACCTGTGTTGTTCTAATAGCTATGCCTGGGAATGGGAAAAAAGGCAGCTGAGATTTTTACTTTGTGCTAACAAAAGTATGTTTGCTAGCAGCTAGCTTGGTTTGTGATACACACAAAGCTTTCTGAAACAGTGCTTCAGCAACATTAAGAGTTGCTCCAAAGGCAAGGGTGTACGTGGGGGGGGCATGTGTGTGTAGATTTTTTTTTTTTTTTTTTTTTTTTAAGAAGTGAGAGCTGTTCTGGCAATATGATTTTTATTGGTAGAACTGCTAAGAAATATAAACCACGTAAGCTGCTGCAAGATACCAGAAAAGAACAGTAAAACATAAGGATTAAAATGCATTCAGTATTCTTGAACTAAGAAGTTTTAAAAGCTAATCCCAAAACGGACACAGCCTGGTGAAGACACCAGCACATCTTTTAGAACTGGAAAAGACTCCTGAGTACTTTTAAAAAGTAGGTCACTTTCACAATACAACACACCACCTACATATACATTTCTGTATTACCTTATGGGGATATGGATATACATTATAGCAATGACTCAAGGTGATAGGAAAGGGAAGAAAAGAGTTCTGAAATTGACAGAGCATAAACAAGGGGAAATGAAGCAAGTTTTATATCCTGAATAAGTCAAAAGTACCTGCTATCTTAAATTCTTTTCCATCATAGACAGAGAATGAAGTATACCAGTGCATGAATAGATCCATAGAATCTGTAGAAAAGCACCTTTGGAAATGCCTGGACAATACTCCATTCATAAGTAAGTGGCTTAGACCTTTTCCCTCTGGACATTTAAATTTAAATAACATATTTACTAGCAGAAAGTCGAAAGGGGAAGCAGCATGAGGTATGAAATTCAGGATGTTCCTAAAAATCAAGTAATAAAAAAATAATTCCCCAAATGCCTGAATCGGTAGTTCTTACTGATCAATTAAAAGTCAAAAATAAATTTAAAAAAAAAAAAATCAAAACCAAGACCAAGTTTTAATTTTTCTTGGACACAAGACTGTCCAAGAACTGCAGGCAGTCAGTCATAACATTTAACCACTATAGTCTTTCACGCATAGATATTTTGGTATAAGTGAAGAGCAAGGGTGTTCAATTTAGATGAATTCTTACAGATTTTATTTCCCCTCCAAAGAGGTGACCCAGAGAGGATCACCCAAATAACTTTGCTGCATTAAAGAATATGCACAAAGTTCCCATGATAAGATGGTCTTCATATGTTTACATTCTCTCTCTCCTTTCTATGGGCTCTGCCTGAGATGACGTAGCTGTTACTATTTTCAATAAATCTTGCAAGTAAACAGGAGAAAAGTTTGTGGGTTTGGGTTTTGTTTGTTTGTTTTTTGGGTTGGGGTTTGCAGGCTTGGGGGGAGAGCGGGGGGAGTGTTAAATGCCAGCAGTATTGTGAATGCACTGTGCTGCTCAGAATACAATGGAAATACCTCATACAGCCCAAAATTATATTTTTGGTATTGCTGATAGGCGTGTTCTCAGAAGCAGCACATTAAATAAGAAGATTTAATCTGTCTATAATGTTCTAAAAAATTGTGTCCATACTGTTCTACCTGGTTGCTAAACACAAATAACCCAATTTAAGAGAACTCCTACTTATTTGCCACAAGCCCCTCCAAAGAGTAGGAAAGAGTCCAAATCAAAACATTTCTTTTAACTGCTGAGCAGCTAGGTCCAAGGACATGATAGCATATCCAGGTCCAAGTTAAGAAGCAAGAACAGAAGGTTCAGGGATGAGGACTAAGCTACTAGGTAATTAAAAAACTAAAAATACTTTTTTTTCCCCATACACCATCTTAGTTGACATCGCTGCAGTTTGTTACAGCAAAGCTATAGAAGGGGGGAATTTGTAGCTAAAACTACTCTTCCTAAAGGAAAGTAAATGAACTGCATTTAGAAGGTGATGATGTAACAGTGTCATAACAAGATACAGAATGGAAAAAAAGACTACTTCTGTGGTGAAGCAAACAATTCAAATCCATGAAAAAACCACTCACCTATAACTAAGTCCCTGGCTGACAGAAGCAGCAATGGGTTGGTGAAAGCCATTCCGTACAACCTGAATCTTGTTGTAGATATGTTTCTGCTGCCATAATCCAACAGCCAAATAAGACCACAACATAAACAGAAATATACAGGCCTACTATAGGCTATGATACGGTTATGACCCTGTTTAAAAGAAAAAAAAAAAATTGTTTCATTATTAGCAAAAAAACCTAATTGTTACTCTTCCATTACAAATAATTTCAGAATCAAAATTAATCTTTCTTCAATTAATGTGCTGTCACCTCAACGCACGCTTAAGTTTTGTTCATAAAATCCTTAACGCATTGCCTTGCAGTGATGTCTTTTCTTTTATGACTTTGATACAATGAGGACACAACAGTTAGTGGAGAATAAGGGTAAACATAGCTTAGTGTAACTTAATCTAAGTTTTAAAGTATGTTTCTTGCAATACTAAATGCCAGAGAAGCTCTGACTAGGCTTCATCAGCAAGAGAGGATATATTAATTTGGAAAAAAAGCAACTGAAGTTTATTGCTTAGACACTGCTCCTACTGGGGACAAAAAAAAAAAACTGTATCTGTGTGTTCATTAAAACATACAACTTATTACCTAAAATAATACTAATGACTTGCTGCAGAGGAATAATTTTTTCATATCTCATTTAGGACATAACAAAACATTTTGTCTTGGCAATCTAGCAATAGAATATAAAAACACATTGTGCAACACTAGCACATTAACATTTCCATGCTCAAATGTTAATGCTCACTAGAGCATTGCATAGCCAGCTTAACAGAGTGAAAAAATAAGGCTGTGTGCACACTAGGACAACTGAATGATGTACAAGACCAGAATAGAACATCAAAGCTGCGCCAGTTCATACCAGCATAGCAAGTTACAACATTAAGAATACTTCTCAGTATAATTGCTTGAATAGCAAAGATATATCAAAACACCTATCATGATATGGCTCTATTGCAAAAGCTAGGCTTAAAACATGATTTGCTCAATACAAAGTGCATGGGGGGGGGAAAACGAATAGTATCAGTTCCCTTCTCACATACTAAGACAACATAAGCCTCTTGTGCCTTATGAGAAGGCGCATGAGAGAAATGCTGACAAAGAACAAATCAAAAAGATCAATTCTCTGTGGAAGTTCTACATCCGCAGGGTTACTACAGTAGCACATGCCCATGACTTACATGTCGAGGGGAAGAAGAATCTGGCTGAACACTCTGAAACCAAAATGGAAAGAGGAAAGTTACCCAATCTACAGAGAAGTGCATTTACACACACCCCCACACCCCACTTTCTTAAGGTTCTTTTAGTAATATCTACAATTAATTTTACAATTGTCTAGCGACTCTACAGCCTTTAAATAGAACAATGTATGAAACCATAAATAAAATCTATTCAAAGTGTATATGTCTATAGCCAAATCAAAAAAATAAGCTAATTATTAGAATTTGTACCTTGTTTTAAACACAAGATACATTATGCACTTTCATTTTAAATCTAATTTCCTAAAAATCTAATCATAAGAAAATAAAATTAAATTACAAAACTATAATTAACAATTGTCTAATAAAAACTAAGATTTTGATTAACAACGTGCTTAGATATAATTGCTTAATGTGAATGCATTGAGGTGTATCCCCTAAAAAAACCCCAAACAAAACAATAAAACTTCAAGTTTAGTTTGTAGTCTGTTTTCAACCAATAAGAATGTCCTCCTCTTTGGGAAAACAAAAAGTGCATGAGAACAACAAATAGTGAGTTGTTTAACAAACATACGCAGAACCATTCTAGTGAAGTGACCTTGTATGACCTTCTATCAAACTTCCCATGAAGCTGAGGTTTACTAATTTCTTTTTAAATGATAAATACGCAGTTTTTTCCTTAAAGCTCTGACTGACCTGCAACACCCAACCGAAGTTATTTCTATTGTTTATAGAAAGTGAAGATAGAAATTAAAAATACCTTCAACAGCGAGTACTGACAACTGGCTATTACCAGGCAGAACTGGAAGACCCAAATATCCTTGAAAAAGCCCTCTATTAGAAGTACAGAGCCCAGAAATGCAACTAGAATAGCTAGGATGACAGCTAACACGTTTTCAAGGATCTCGCGATTCCTGTATTAGAGGGAGAGAAGAGGAAAAAAAAAAAAAAAAAAAAAAAGGAGAGAGAATTAAAAGCTAACTATGTCTAGAAAAAGCTGCAAGGGAACAGTTAGGGTCAGAAGTTAACAAGAGTTATGCTGCTGGTAGCAAAGTTTTTAAGGACAGATTTGAACTTGCATAGACTATACTAGGCACACTGTCTTTTAGCAAAGCTAGGAGCTACCAGGATTTCAATGATAGCTGAAAGCAATTAGTATCTTACAGAATTGACCTTTAAACAGCAGAAGATAACTTCAGCAGATAACTTCGGAAATAATTCAAATACTCAACCAGAAGCACGGTCTGTAACACAAATCTATATTCAAGGCCCATATGGGATGATTACAAGCCTGTGAAAAATATATGCGTGATAGCTTATCTGCATATAATCTGTCATTCATGATTTTGTAATGAAGAAACTAAAGCCACTCCCACTTGGCTAAGATATGCCAAGTGGAATAAAGATAATTCTGTATTACACTGGTAGGGCTTAGGAACAGAATTAATAGTATTTCTACCTGGACAGATTCACTACTATATTGTTTATCTCAAGGAAGTTCATTATGAAAATTTAAATACTCTATATATTCCCAAAGATGGTAACTGCAGGGTCACCTTTGTTTTATTCCACTAGCTAAATGCAGCAGGCACAACAGGTTACAGTATTAGATGACCCTTTGGAAAAATGCTTTAAAACAGAAGATAAATTCTCTCTAGTTGCTGAAATAATGTAGATGTATGCCAAGTTCTAGACCCTTTTAAATCTTTTTTTGGTGAAGGTTATTTTCTGGCTTTAAAGATTCACAAAAAAACCTGTCTTTTTGACCATTCAAACATGTTATTCCCCACTCACAAAGTGAGGGGGTTTTATTTCCTTCTTAGCATTGTTGGAGAAAAAGGGACAGTAGCCTTCATTATTTTAGAAAAATTGCATTTTTTAGTATTCTGTCATCTTTCAGAGAGGTAAATCTTTCAGTAAATAAGTGCAATTCTCTAAGGATAGCTTTACCTGTATTACTAACAGTTTAGTTGCCAATTTTAAATCTTTACGTTCTGAGGTCTAGTAACATACGAGGATCTCACCTATCAAATAAAGCCAGAAGAGTTAATCTATCAAAATGGATGCTAATCCAAAGCTTCGGCAGGATCCAAAAGCGATAGTACTGCTTGACTTTTTGAGCTGCTTCCTCTTGAGGTTGCATGTGGTCCTGAAGGTCAGGGCTCAGGTCAATATCTTGCTGCTCCAGCAGATCTGTATCCATGGTTAGCAGCCTGTTCAACCTGATCTGAGGAAGAGAAAGCTAAAAGAAAGTCAGTATTAACAAAAGCTCATTTTTATCATATCACTGTATCCTACTGAAAACTGCTTTGGAAAAAATTGCTAGAATTATTTAGTTTCACTTTTAAGAAGTTACATGTTAAACGCTGTCAGTTCTGAGGCTTCTACTTACTTTTCCTGTCCTTATCATGGCAAATTAATAGCATCAACAGCAATAATAGTTTGCATAGAATACAACTGTGTGGCATTTTAGCATATGCCTTACTTCAAATGAAGTATGAACACATCTTCCCATTTACCCTGAAAACTTCAAATTTGAAGACAAGTAAACTGATATGTGAACAGGAATAATGTATACTACAAGAATAATCCAATACTGAATTTAAATAAAGTACAACACATTTCTTATAGTCAGCTAACCTGCATGCACACCCATGCCAAATGGTTGGTTTTGCATGACAAAGCAGCATATGCATGCATCGGTGGTCAAATTCAAACTCACTACATTTAGAATATACTCAGAGACAAACTAAAAAAGAGCTCTGCCCTAACTAGTCAAGTACTATTTATGACTGACTATATTTCTCACTTATTTTGTAGTTTGTCGCTCTAGAGTTCTCTTGAAATCACAGTAATACAAACACCATAAAGGATATTTAAGGACAGTACTCAGACGGTTAAGTAGTAAAGTTACTACAGTATGTGTTGTCTAACCCACTTTATAGATTTTATTAACAGGCCAAGAAACGTTTTAATGCACTGCCCTTTATTCTTAAACAATATCATCATTAAAATGTCACTTAATGAAAAACATTCATAATCTTCTAAAGCAAAGAGTAAAAACTAAATACTCAGTTCACTTTAGGTGTCAAAGTTATAGTCTGTTTGCTTGGGGATTTTTTTTACAATTATCTCAAAGTTTAACATTCCATTTCTCAGTTTTGAAAATTTTTTCAGGAATCCTTAAAGCATCAGTGTACCATAACTATGCTCAGCCAGCTTTTTCTTCCTAGAAAAACACTAATAAAAACAACAAGCAGGAACACTCCCTTTCCAAAGGCATTTCAAAAGTACAATACATGCTATCTAAGATAAGCTGTGTCAGAAAACAGGTCGGGTTTTTTGACAACTTTTAAAAAAAACTTGGTTTCTTAAAAAGTAGAATCACTATAACATAACATTTGTCACAATAATAATAAATTTCAGTGGAAACTTCCACTTAGGCACATGGGCTAAGCTTTTATAAATACAAGTTTGCCTTAAACAGAATCATTCCCTTCAATGGGACCACACTGGCAAATCAACAACACATAACAGGTAACATAGCCTCTTTTCTGAAGGCTACATTTTCCAGGGAGATGGTGGAAAGCAAAGAACGTTCCTCTAGCAGACAGCAGGTTTGAAGAGCACGTTCTTGATCAAAAGCATTGTCAGGCAAATGGAGGTTTCCTTCTCCCTCTGCCAAATGCTGAATCATATTTCATGGTCCCCTCTTGATTAGGTCATTAGGTACTTCAATATACTTTACTTTGGTTTCCTAGCTTAAGAATCGTGACCATTTGCACTGTTTTCATGATACAGCAATATCAGACTTCAGAATTAAGAGTACAGGTATGCCCGGACTCAACAACAACATAAAAGGTTCAAGAACACAAAACTAGGAAATCTAAAGCTATTTGCAGTACAAAACAGCATAAGCCTCTGCCCTTTTTCCCAGTCACCCCATGTGTATGAATTAAAGTTTTGTACAGCAGATTCTGACAGATTTTTAAATTCCTTTCAGGGAAATTACTGAAGTTTCTCTTTGTCAGAACACAAAGTTCATTCTTTCTGCTACCTGCTAAGCTTAGTAATGCACAGAAGGAAAACTCTGTCCAAATTATCCAGTCATCTCTAGAAACCTTTACAAGGTATCTCAGAACATCCGATTTCCACGTGATTTAGAAAAATCACTATGCTTTAGACAGAAGAAACCACATTTAAATTTTCGAGTGCTATGCAGAAACATTAATTTGTATGTATAAATGAAGATACTGCAACAATAAATACATGCTTTATCTTCATTAAACCCAGGCAAAAATCCTTCTTAAGAACAAAGAACTACCATATAGGATGATTAATCAGTGCTATAAAATTGGAAAGTCTTCTGATTTTTTGCATGCTTTAAAAATAAATAAGAAAAACTTACTAGATCATGTGGATAAAAGCGAACTGAGGTAGAACTCGATACGTGAGAGTCCGTGTCACTATAAGAACAGGGGAAAGACTTCAGATTATAAAACTACATTTTATTTCAATAGGCCATTCTAATTTTCTAGTGTCCCAAATGAATTTCGACTCCTTGCAAATTTTAGCTAAAAATCTTTAAGTTCTTCTTTTGATCACATATTTTAAGTACAAGTATCCACTTAGTCTTGTGTATTGTGGTAAATTCTGTAGCTATAGTAAATCAGGAGACTCTTTACCCTTACCCTTGGTATAATTTTCACCTAGTCCCTAAATTGTCTAACAAGCATTATCATGATAGTAGTTATTCCACCTGAAAAAAAACAAAAGATGCTTTATAATCTGTTATCTACTGATGTGTAAACACGCATCACATCTCTAAAGGGGTGCAGAGCCCACTATGAATTAATAAAAGCTCTGAATGTGAACACTATACTGTTTTCATCAAGGTCCCACAACTGCCAAAAATAGTACATAATTAACATGAGTATACTGAGTTACTTAATCTTAAATTGCTTTTGAAAAACCTAACTTTAAATAAACTTAAACCTCTGGTAAGAAGAGCAAAATTACTTTGCAATTTCCATTCATTAGAGATGAGGAGAAATTTCTCTTACTGTACGAGAGTCCATATCCAACCATTGCTTTTTTCCCCAATTTTGGATAGCTTTTGGATGTTTGTTTTCCATGTAAATCACATGGCTGTAAGACTTGTATCAAATTTATGCAACTTCCCTTCCGTTCCTTGCCTTAAGATAAAAACATTCTTTGTTATCAATTTTACTTCACTGAAACTCAAGTATTCTCTAAAGTTGAGATGTGATTATTTGGATGTGGCCAGTTTGTTCCTTCCATGAGCACATATAACTTTATAACAGCAGCCATCAGCAAAGCCATTGCATCTGGAACATGCAAGCAGTAGAGGCAGGCATTGGCAGCTTTGTGCAAGGAATACAGAACTTTTTGTTAAAGTTCAACTCTACAAAAGGCATTTGCACACTTTCACAAGAAAGATTTGAAGATGGGAGCTTTTACATTCATTACTCCATAATTCCAATAGTTATTCCACCTACAGGTAGTGGAAATTTGTAGCGTTCAGCATGATGCAATAGTTTCAGAGCAGTTCTGTGTAGTGAAGCGGATTGAGGGGGCGGTGGGGCACAGGAGGTTTTGGGTTGTTTTTCTTTCTTCTGCCTCCAGCCCCTTCAGAGAAAGAAAGGACATCTTTCCAACAGCAGACCAACTTTCCAGCATGTAGCTGGTTATTTCAACTGTAAGTCAAATTTTAACCTCAGGCATTTTAACACTTCCATGTATTGTTCCATGCCATCTATGAACTTGAGAACAAATGTATCAGTTTACATTCGCTTCACAATTGGAAGTTCATTTGTAAATAAGTTAATAGTCATTATGGTCAACAGCCACTTACTTTCCCAAAACCTGGGTTAAATCCTTTAAGAAACGTAAGCCAATCAAAGCTCTCAGTTTGGACATTTATTGCTTAAGGTAGTCTTCATTTTTCTGACATTTACTTAACTGGAGGACATTTTTAGATAGTGTCATCTTCTAGGAAAGATCACTTCAAAAGTATATGGATAATATTTTATATTGGGGTTTTTTTTAGTCCATACTAAATAACCTTTTAAAATTAAAATCAAAGATTTTGTTGCAGTAAGACAAGAATCATGACTCTTGACTGGCCTTCACACACACCAGATGTTGGATGCTCTTCTTGCAGCTGGCTCAAAGTTCACAAGTGACATGTCGCAGCCCCCCGTCTCGTAGAGCGTAGAACTGAACTTACCTATTAAAGAAAAGGTCAAAAGCAGGTCAAAATTTCATAATGTTTCATTCCATTGGCACTAGTTTCTATTTATTAACTTACTACTGAGATCAATTTTACATCTAAATTTACATCAGTGCCAAAATATAAAATGTGATTACACATTAATGTGTCAGCAGCGCAGACATCAGCTACTCGGTCCTCTTTCATACCATTTTACATGATATATATACAGTAAACTGCAATACTGAATTAAATTTTAAGAGTTTGCATTTACAAGATGTCATCATTAACACAACATAAGCACAACATAAACCTTTCCCCCCCCCTTAGAGAATAACCAGGTGAACAACTTGCAATGACCAGCTTCTTCAGTTCTTCCCTCCCACTCCCAAGACAACAATCAGTAAATCATTTGCTGTCAGCATTTAAGAACCATGGCATTTAGCTAAGGCAGATATTCCCCAAGTGTCCTGAATAAAATTCTTTTGAGAGGCACATGCCCATTTAGAAAGAAACACAAAGAGTGAAAGAAGTGACTAGAAATGCTTTGTAAATTATACCTCTAAAAAAACTGGGGGGGGAGAAGGAATGGCAGGCAGAGATTTGTTCTACAAGCCAGAAGCAAATGCTTCACTGCAAGAACAGAAGACTGCAAACTAACTTCTCAGATAAACCATTCGGAGTTTCTGGAACTCCATTAACCATAGTTAAAAACATTCTGAATTGACAATATCAAGCTATTCCTAAATATATAACAAACAAAAAAGTAGCCAGAGATTATAACTCAAATTATAAGATGTTTTTACAGTGCCCTTCTCCCACAATAGTCTGATCAGAGAGATAAGCATTGTAATTTCCCTTGAAGGTCAGGTTCAATATATTTCAGCTCTGAATGCAGGAAGCGGATTTTGAAATTGTGATCTCATATGAAGTGTTCTGCCAGCCTCTCCATCTCTTCTAGCTCAAAACCCTGCTTAAGCCGTGATGCAAAGCATGCAGTATTTTAAGATCTGCTTATACAGAACAAAAAAGAAACAAAACAAAAAAAAAAATCCCACTTGGAGCATCTGAAGCAAAAACTGTGTACACCTCAAGTGCATGTCTAGCAGCTCTTATATTCTGTTGATACAGGATAGCAAGCAGTCCCAGGAGAAAACCTAACATGGTGAGAGCTTCCAATCTTTCCCTTTTCTCTGAGAACATAACCTACTTCTGATATAGTGGGGTTTTGATACATTTTTAAAACAAACAAACAAACAAAAAACAAACTATGATCCTGCTCCAACTTCTCTTCAGACCCACAGACAATTAAGTTCTATTGAGAAGTGTCTGAAAGTGAGAAGGTTAAAAACCTCAAACTGGATGATTAAAACCAGTGAAACTGAGGAAAAATACTGTTGTATTTAAAATACTTTCATAAAGCTTTCTCAGGGGGCACTTCAGACCAGCTAGACACATACCGCAGCCATGCTAAGACCATTCTGACAAGACAGTCAGACAGATAGTTCAGGAGTCACGTACAGCATGCGTCAGAGCTCAGTAAGGCAACAGCTCTCTCAATATTTAATTTCATCTGCCATATGCATTTGTAAGGACATACAAGTGTAAGGTTCACTTGTTAGGGTTTTTTCCTCAATAGTTAAGAATTTAATGAAGCGCTTTCGTTAAACATCCTTTGGGTTTTAATGCAGTGTAGTAAATAGTTGTTACTGAAGTTTAAAATTTAAGCTAGTGTAAGACATTAGGAATCTTCCCTGCAACTGATAAGTAACCTCAGTCACACAGGACTACTTCTCAACTGCATCAGTAGAAAAAAAATTTTCAACAGTAAACATGAAGGTATTATATAAAACACTTCAGGTTCTAGTCAGGACAAAATTATGCATAACTTATTACCGAAAAATCTTCTGATCAACCAGTGCTTAAAAGAGACAAGTTTAGGTTAAATTCCTCACGTTTTTGCACTACTGAATTGAGAGCCTGGAAATTAAACTTCCTGATTTTTAAATTAATGACATTCTAGTCACAGAAATTAGAATATACTACTTGCAAGATATAACTTCCCATTCTCTTGGCCTGAGATCATACATCAGATATATTTGTTTCAAAAGAAGTTTACTGAACTGTTACGCTCATGTCAAACGTCTGAAAAGGACCTCAAACTATGAAAAAGATTACGCATAAAACACTAACTTAGAAAATATCTACGGTTCCCTCACATCCAACTCATCTTTGAATCTGTCACAATTTACTGCGCTTGTGTCGCTGCTGTAAGTACTGCATGGCTGTGGTGGGATAAGACAAACCTGGTTAACAGGGAGGTAGCCAACAGACAAACCATTAATTCCAATTGTTTACACACAAACTACAAAACAGACACAGGTTTTGCCATACTTGCAATTCACCCCCCCTACTTTTATAGGGTTCCTATTGAAAGTTAACTCTTTCAAGAAAAGCAAGGCTTCTCAATAACACAGAGTTGCCTCAACTCATCCAAACTAGAAAAGACAACAGGACTATTCATTGCAGTTGAGGACGCAAGCCCTAAGGTGTGCCTGGAGATTATCTATGGCTGAGCTCGAGAGTCCCAGCAATTAAATACTTTTTAAACTGTGTGAGGTAAAAGCAGCTTCCTCACAGCACTCTCAAACTCTCTTGAGAGCGCCCAATGCTGACAAGATTCAATATGTATGGATAAATAATTTTTAGTTACCCTAGTAATTCTCTCTCCCTCCCATTCCTAGCTCTCCCACAACGTTCTCTGAAGTATTTCAAACAGCATCAGACTAAAGAAGCTTAGGAAAGTTTTTGCTTTCTCTAAGGACTATAGTTTTATCAAGTTGTGAACAAATGGCAGACTCAAAAGCTTATTTTTCAAATCAAGAAATACAGCCAATAGCATGTTTGTCCACTAAACAGAAATGCTTGTAACTCCCAGCCCTGTGCTCAAAGGGAAAGCTGCAAGGTCTTAGCAAATTAAAGTCACCCCAGCAATATTCTGTTTGGATGAGGTTACAAAACCAACAAAACCAAGTCATTGATATTCAATGCACACAAATCCAAAAATACATCTTTGTTCTGACAGGTAGAGAGGAAAAGATGAATGCACTTCCCTTGAAACAAGTTTCCTTGTTTCACAAGACAAAAATATCTCATCACCAAGCCCAGAGACAACCACGTAACAGTTCACACTGGACGAACCGATGTTCCCACAGTTACGGGGAATCAATGAAAGCAACAGGCCGATGGTTTACACAGATGAAACCTGGGAGACTTAAGTGGCTCAGGATCCAGCTTAAATGGTACTCTGATGCTCTCCTCAGCCAGGTTACTTTCAGCACATTTCCCAGTTTTCCATCTAATAAATACTACTTTGTTTTAAATCTCTCAAAATAGTTCTGAAAACTGCTAACACTTTTTGACACGTTGAAGCCTACAGCATCATCAAGATACATTCAACTACTACTTATGACAATATTTTAAAAATCCTAGTCAGCAAAACCAAGAAAGCCATCGGAATCTGAATACTCTGTAGTGTTTCCAAAGGTCAAAATTTTACCTTCAGCTGCAGTATGAAGACTTGTAAGTTTTCAGTTGGAACACTTTCAAACGGTTAATTCTTTATTTCTATAGGAAATTTGTCAAAAGAGTAACTTACCTATTATGCAGAATTCCACAGACTACAACATTTTCCAATAGGAACAATGGGAAGTGAGAATTTGTTTTCTACTTGTACCTCTGAATATACTTCCCTATCCATCCCAAATAAATTAAGTGTACTTAATTATAAATAGTTATTGAGGAACTGATTCTAAATTGGTTTTAATGAAATAAGTGATCAATGTATATATTCATAGAGAAAAGTTTTGATCTTCAAGACCATCATCCAACCGCCTTCAAATACTAAAATACTTCAATAAAGCCAAAATACTAACACTTGCAGAAAAGTGGTACAACCAGTAGCCCAACATAGCAGTGTAACTGTATTGTAAAGCTCCAGATGACCAGTTCTCTTGAATGAGAAAGCAATATTCCTCAGGAAAAAAAAAAAAAAAAAAAAAATCATTCTCTAGCTGAGGGCAAGATGCTGGTATTTCACCGCAGTTTCAGAAACTGGGCATCTGTTCTGGTATCTCAGTACTTGGATTCCTAACTACCTCACTAATTGTAACTCCTACAGCCTTTGCTGCAAGGACTGAAAAATCCCACCCATCACCTACATGTCTCAAGAATCAGACATTAGTGAGAATAAAAGGCTTCACTACTGTCACACTGTGCTCTGAAGACTATCATTCACTTAAGTCATGGTATGTGTTCTTCTGTTTTTTGGATTCATATCGTATTAATCTTGCCTATAGTCATGGCATTCGATCTGCCACCTTTCCGTTCTGTCCTGCATTCCTCTTATGATTTACTTCATGTTTACTGTTCCACATTAAGCTCCTTTTCCATCTTTTCTAGTTCCTTCCCCTTCACTAAACAACAACATAATTGATAAAAAAATCTTTCTACTTTGAATCTTGATTCTTTGAATGGAGATAATGCCTCAAAGCATCTCCTGCCTTACTCTCAGGACAATGCCCAGTTAGAGATGACTGTGGAGTCACCAGCCTGGATGTAGGCAAGGTATAATACAGTAAGGTTCATCCCTCTTAATATAAGCCACCAGAATCAAGTTAAGAGATACAAATCTTTAAAGCGAACAAAAAAACCAAAAAAACAAACAAAAAAAAAAGTGTTATCTTGTTAAGGGCTGCAGCTCACACATTAATGGAAAGAATGTAGCAGCAGACACTGCATTGGTGCACAAAAAAAAGGAATCTTAAATGGGGGGGCTTTTAATGTAAACTAACACATGCCCTGTTTGTCTTCCAGAAGAGCTGGAATACACTAATAGAATTTCAGTAAAAAAAGAAATTCTTATATGCATTATACAGAGATACATAACCCCATCTGCTACATTTGTCACTTATTTCCAGTTGCTATAAATCAAGTTTTGTTTCCATATCTTTTCCCCAGCCTTTATTTTCAGTATTTTTTCTGCCTTGAGCAGTCACAGCAATTTCCACAGTGACAAAGAATCAGTCATATCACCTGCATTGCCTTGATCAGCATCAGAATAAAAATTAATGAAAAATAAACTATTATCCTCCCCAACCTCCAAACCATACACAATCTAAAGTAAAGTAACAGGGTCATCTTTCACTGTAAGGTATCTTGGGACAACAGAGCCAAACCAACAGCCTTAGACTTTAGGGAAATAGAGCAGTGGTGTTACTTCATTTCTGACTGAGGATAAAAAAAAAAAAACCCAACCACACAAACAAACAACAAAAAAACCAGAAATCACACACACAAACAAAAACCCCAAAACCAACAAACCATGTACCAATTATCAGGAAAGATATTCTCCCTTCTTGTCAGGCCTGATAAAGGAATCATGCATGTGAAAGCTTGCACCATTTTGCCAACTGTTTTACTCTAACAAAAGATAGTACCTGTCACACAAAGCCTGCTACACAAACTAGAAAATTTGGTTTTCCTAAAAATAATAAAACCAGATCTTGTCTATAATAGCTGCTTTCATGCATGGAAGGTTTCTAAACAGATGCTCAGAGCTTCAAACCAGAAATAAATCCCTATTATACATTAGATTTTTAACTGAGCAGATCCTGGAAGTTTTGTGCCACCCAAAGACAATGTGATGCCCCATATAACTGTAAGTACAGTATACACAAGATTTCAGAAGAATTTAGCTATATAAATGTCTGAAGACTCCAACACATGCCAGGTGCAATGAATATGCCTTTTTAGAAATACTGAATGCAATATGGAATTTTTTAAGTGAGCCACTTTGATTTCTACTACAATATAATAATGTAAGTTCTTAAATAACTCAGACTTAACTAGATTGTATATTAAATCTTGAATTCTATAAAACTTGATTGCATTTGGGTAAGACGAACCAAATCCTTCAAACAGAATAATAGTGGCTTTAAGAATAAATCTCAACATTAACCTTGGATAGATATAACCACTATCCCAGAATTTCAGAGTTATATTGAAATATTTTTTCAAACAAGAAATAAAAGAGTCCATATTAAATAAATCTGTAGTTTCATGTGGTAAGCTTTCATAGTTCAGAGATACATAAAAGCACTGAGATGCAAGTCTCAATTTTTCTATCTAGAAACCAGTAGAGCCACAGACACAAAAACGAAAATTATCAGATAAGTACATTGTGTATAGTTAGCACAACTGTTGTTAAATTTTGCACAACACCGCAAAGAACATCAGGGTTGTTTTCAGTTTTGCCTATATTAATTTCTTTCTTATACTGCAGCTAGATAGTGCAGAAGAATGGCAACTTGTTAGTCGAAGTCATATTTAAAGGGGTAACACAGCATGGCAACTCTTGAAGTCTTCCCCACTGTTCACTTATCTTTAGTACTGGGTTACAGTAAGGTCTGAAACAAATGTTTTGTCAAGTGTTCTGAGCTAACCTGTACTTTTAAGTTATTACAGCTGATCAAAATACTGTCACTAATAATTGCCAGTTCCAAAGATGCCCATTTTAATAATCCGAGGAAGAATTCCATATTAATGCTGAAGTTGTAAGTAATTCGTGCCATGTATAGATAGCTGCAAAGACCCCTGCCAGGAATTTTTCCACATCTGCCCCTGCATTACTGTGTCGCAGGAGATGAGTCACTTATTCTGACCATCTTAACATCCTTCTCCCCAGCAATTTTATTAGCTGCACAGAAGTTAATAAATAGTTAAGAATACTACATAAAATGGACCATGAAGAATTAAGGGGCACTATAAAGCTCCATAAAATGATGCCATTTGATATAAGAGTCCAGATTTTCTTCCAAACTCAAGCTCCTAAATTAAGGTATACATCAAAAGTAAAGCACACTCATTTACATAAGGATTTCTTTTTTAAACAGCAGCTAGGCAAGACTCATAAGATCAAGAATTCCTAGGGACCATAACAAATATTTTTTTCAGGAATCCAAAGTTCCTCAAAGTTTGTATCAATCTCTGCCCATCTACCTGTGACAATGCAAGGAAACTAATGCATTACACGTTACGTTGCTTAAGTCATGAAAGCTCTCAGACCATTGCTATTTGTACCGAGGCATCCTTAGAGCGTTTCTCGTTGTGCATTTGTTAGAGAAAGTGCCTGGAGAGGCAACTATGAAAGGCAAGGAATTTATGAGCAATAGGGCTGTCTAAGGAATGCACCTACATTCAGAAGCAAAGCTAAGGTTAGCTGATTTTCACCGCGTTACCACCGATATATCTGCCATATTAGAACTTCCATGTCACCAAGGTTACATAAGGCCTGCATACCAAGTTCATCGTGCAAACTGCTACCGCCTACAGCAGATGCCGTGGCAGGTGATGCTTCTAAGTGGACACTCCCATTTCTCACCAGCAAGGAGGCGCTAGCGCTGAGCACAGCTGCCTGGGAAGGGGGGCGGGACTGCACTCTGACCTGGGAGGAGGGCTGCTGGCCTTGCTGACCATCTTGAAGGCTACGAGAAAACATGGATTGGGGACACGTTACCAGAAAGAAGAGGAAAAACAGCTAGAAGTGAAGCAAAACAAGATGTTTTAAAGAGGCAAACTTAAAGAGTATAGCATTAAGAAGCCACTTACGAGGGTTGGGATAACCCACGCATTCCGTGTAACAGAGTATTGGGACACTAGTTACACCCGTAATCTAGAGATACCGTTCCTGTCCTTCTTCTTAGAATCATAGAATGTTTTGGGTTGGAAGGGACCCCTAGACGTCATCTAGTCCAACCCCCCTGCAGTGAGCAGGGACGAAGTCGTACTGCTTTCTAACATCTCCCCAAGTCACCCTCAAGTATATGCTTCCAAGTCTTAAATTGCAAAAGCAAATCACTAGACTAACCCAAGTTATCATCTACATACAGTAGTGACCATGCCAGTCTTCTCACGATAGGTAGGGTCCTTTTTGCCTGTTGAGATATGACTTGGTCAACTGTGTAGTTGGCCATTTGCCTTTTTTTTTGTTACAATAACATCACCTTTCTTGCTATTAATCTGCGCTCTAAGTAGAAAAAAAATCTTTAAAGCTGCGTTAGTAGCCATACGCTACCACAGACCTTGTTGATAACTGCAGTTAAGCATTTGGATTCAGAATTTTTTTGAACGTTACGAATGCTTATAACAAATTATTAATTGGCAAAAGTCTTATTTTGAAGTTATTTTGACAGTACAGCAAAAACTTTATTACTCAGTATTACTACCGCAAAGAAATTCTTCTATACCAGACACATACCTGCACCAAAAACCAGGTTTTAAAAGTCAACTTGGGCTTCAGAGAAATTTGTTAGTTTATAGCCATGAGTAGACAATGTTTGAAAATGTTAGTTCTCCTCACAGCCTTCTCATTGCAAAATTATTTTATAAAGCTATTTAACAAAGTGAAATATTTGTAATAGCTTGTTTAATATTAGACATGGCAAAGCGTCAGAATACATGACACTTATACTTGCATATCACATCTATTTTTCAAGATTAGTGTTTTTATTATCCTTCATTTTGTGCATTTGAAGAAGTTACACGTCACAGTCATTAGCTGTGGGGCGTGATGAAATGAAGAAATTATTTTATATTTTTAGACAGACTTTGTATTTTAAAGACTGTGAAAAATATCTTAAACACTTTTGAAAAACAATCTTTATCACCTGTTTCTTTTAACATTTCACTGTTTACTGTGTGTTGCTACAGTTGGCACATGAGACAACTGTAAAAGCAAGATCTTAGTAAGAGTTATAGGGTTATATCTGATGTACTTGCTTTCAACAACATTTTCTAGAGCATCTGCTTTTCAGTTCTTTTGTTAGAGCACCACTGGAAAACAAAATATGGATAGAGGTGTAAGAATAGGTGTTACGAAAAGCTCATGCAAAATAAAGCACACATGCGCACAGCTCATGAGGTAAAAAACTGCAAATCACTGTTTATCGTATTCTAACATTTTAATCTGAACTTTAAATTTGGTGTTTTGCTGCTGTACACAAGGCTTTTAGTGAGCTACATGGCAACAAAAGCCCTAAGGAAGCTCACAGAGGTACCAGCCTTTGTGGTCTCCCTTAAGTGTTATCAGCAACACCAAAACAATGCTAAGCAATACTACTTTCCCTTAAAGAGTAGCTATATATCAAAAGGTATATATACAAAGTTGCTCTTTCAGTCATTATCCAGATCTGTCACAAAAAACCCCAAAACATTGACATTAATAGATTGCATGGATATGCAAGAGATACTTATTTTCTAATTAATAATTAGAAAAATAAAATTCTGCTTCAGTCACTTATGTTCTCACATCAGACACACATGCATACACCATTGACTACATAGGATGCCAATGCATACATATGTTTAAAGCGCCCAAAACACTGTTGACATTTAGGCAGGACAAAAGCAGGGGTGGTTGGTTGTTCTGTGGTGGGGTTTTTAAGTTACCAAGTACTAGTGTCTAATTTAGTATCAAACCAGCAGAATTTACACGACCAGATTTTACTCAAGTGTCTACCATTGCCAAACACAAACATATATAATGCCATAGTCTCCACAGAGGAAAAGTAACTGCAGTAATGGATAAGAAATTAAAAAATCATGTTGAACTGAACAGGTTCTAAGGGAACATCCCCACGACATCCAATTTTATGCCAGAGTTAGAAGATTAGGAGATTAAAGTTTTGCTGGCAAGAATAAGAAAGAAGTAACATCAGGGCAACCAAAGATTAGTAAATCTAATACTGTTAGAAGTTTTAACATCTCAAGTCATATGGATTAGCAATATCAGGAACTAGACTGAGGCAGCTCACCACTAGCATATGCAAGTAATGCCAGTACAGTTGCAGTAGTATTTTGAAATTACCTTGGTATATCTGTATTTCTTCATATTTCTTTCTTACGCATGATTTTTTTTTTTTTTTAATCTTTAAGGGTTTCTTCTTCCAGCAACATACAGACTTTACACTAAAATTCAGCTACCCATGTAAAGGAAAGTTTTTTCAGACTGTTCATCTAGCAATCAGAACAGTAATAAATACAATTTTTCAGATAAATTCCATTTGAACTACCAACTGTGGAATGTATGTCAAACAAATCCAAAAGCACTCTGGTGTTTGGTTGGACTAAGGCAATTTAACTCCACTCCAAGGGACAGTCATTTAGCATCACAAATGATGCTTTGAGCAAAGTAACCTCACTAAGTATTCAATTCTGAACATACGTTTGTAATACAAATATTTTTTTTATAATGTGTGCCATTATGTCAAAGAAAGTACAGAGTTCTGGGTGGGTTTATTTTATTTAGAAAGGAACAAATTTAGATAACTGGAAGATGTACAGGGGAAATTCAAGGCTAGAATACTTGTTCCGCTTTTTTACCCTTGAACATTTTGTCTGGTTAAAAACTTACTTCCACCAACTTCAGTTTTCTCATGATCTCTCACTGAAGCCCAGCTTAAGCCATGGGAACCTTAATGACTGCCCTAGGGTCTGAAAATGAGGCAGCTGTCAGCCTCAGTTTAAAACCAAGTCCTTTATTTGCCCTACTTTCTACCTGTCTAAGAGAAAGAAACTCACTGTTTTCTGGCTAAGGCACAGTTAAGGAGCTCTGATTAGTATGCACAGCCTCTGATGAACCAATACACAAAACTATACTACCCTCCTCTTAAAAAAAAAAAAAAAGGAAAAAACACAAAAAAAATGAGAAGCAAGTGAATGCAACAGAGAGTAGAACAAAAGTGATCTAACACAACGCAAAGTTTTAGCAACCCTTGCTATGAAGTAAATCACTAACTTAAAGTTGAACAAGCTATGTTCAGGAAGACCAGAAGCTTAATAAAAATTTATCTGAAATGATGCGATTACTACTACATACTGCACTAGCCGGTAAAAGCACATCTAACTAATTTCAGTCCTTGATGTAGCTGAAGTCAATCCTTCAGTTGTTAGATTTTAGGTACCATTCTTGCAACTCTCCTGCCTGAGGAAAATTTACAAATTTTGTCCTTGATTATTTCAGTGGTGCCACAAAGATGGCAAAAGTCCTCCCCCATCCTCTATTGTAAAATATCTTTTTATTTGCTCAGCTTCTATAGCTTTTTCCAGTTAAAAAAAAAAAAGTCACACAAGTATTCCTGAAATGCAAAAGCAGACTGCTCCTATTATTAAAGACAGCTTAGCATATGAAGGAAGATCATTAAGAATATACAACATATACAATTATTCCTGCGTATTTGTCATATAACTGGAGGAAGAATTACTTTGATATGTATGGGGGAGCATTCCTTCCTCTACAGGCAATGTTCTACTCGCCAGATTCTCTAACACCGTAGGCAACCACAGGATTGAAAGACTTAAAAAGCAAGTTTAAGAACTTGTGGTTGCTACTTCTACTGTTCAAGCTGACAGACCAAACAGGGTTGCTGTATGTACCATATCACTAAGCTCAGTATTGTTAACAAATGGGCCAGTGAAGGCTGGGGACTCCCAGGATACATGTATATAGGACATTTTAAACATTGTCAAGGCATGCGAAGTGCCACACAATTAGATTTAATACTGAACAATACTGTGCATTCTATTGCAAAGGCATCACTAGTACTTCATTATTTCTCTTTTACTGTAAAAAGCTGCAGAATGTTCATACAATGGTTTGCCTGTATTTTAGATTTGGAATCTTTGCATGTATGATTTAGCTCTTTATAATGTCCTGCCACTTTATTGCTTTGCTTATCTTTCACTATCTACAGATGCGAAAAGTGATTTCAGTACTAGTCCCTAATGTTTACTTCCTTAAAGGAAAGAAAATCAAAATGAGCAGTGGTGAATAGTATTTTACTAGGTTTTTCTCCTTGCTTGAAAGTAAAAGTTTCTAAAGTTTTTGATAAAAAGGATGGAGTCTAAGTTTGTTAGCATTAGTTCATTTTGTTATCAATCTGAAATCAGCTATAACATGTTAGAGACTGGCTATCCTGATCATTCTGAAAATAGTGCCACATATACATGCACAATTCAACAAGCCCACAGTGACATGCAGTGACAGCTCAAGGAGGTTATGGTGGGGAAGGAAGTAAAAAGTGCTTTTCTGGCAACACTGGTGGGTGTGGGGAGAAGTGGTCTGCTGCATGCATGCTAAATATGGTGGAACATTTAGATACCCTACCTGAGGGGTGATCCGATGAGCAATGTAGGAGGGGTAGGGTTACTCCCTGCATTGTGCCGGCGTCGTACTGCCTGACGCCTAAATGTGCTGCGTTCACGACGAAATGTGACAGTCTCCTCGCTGGCTTGTGCTGCTGCATCAAGACAGACTTTAGGTCAAATAAGAACCCATCCTAGTTACGTACACAGTAACTTAAGACTCCTTTCTTCCCCCTGACCCTCCCCAAGTTAATGAACTTGACTTGCAACAACAAAAGTAGCTTATGTACTGACTGTTCAAATAACCTGCCTCAAGACAGGATCACAACACACAATTATTAATAAAGATTTGGGTTCGCTGTTTAACGGGTGGGGTGTGTGTTCTTGAACATACAGCGCTTTTTTGGGGGTTTTTTTGTTGTTTTTTTTTTTTTTTACCCCCACATTCAAATAACCAGGTTGCAAAACAAGTTGGATATCCCAAATTTCTTCCATTTACATGGGGCAGGAAGAGACAAGCCTGATCTCACCCTTTATCTCACTTAAGACCCTTTATCTCATTTAATACCCTTTATCTCATTTAATAGATAATTAAAGGAGAAGCCTAAAGGACAACCTAGAAAGGTTGTCATGCCATTCCTCACCATGATATTCTCTTCTCAATTTTATAACTTCTGCCAAACAGGTATGGTTGAGGTTAACCTCATCATACCTCCTCAAGGGACAAACTAAGAGCTGCTTTTTTCTTTTTCCTCATAAGCACCAAGGGATACATGTTGCTCATTTTAGACTAGTTACACTATGATCTGGAGGAGCCGGGGGTTGAGATTAAGTGAGAGAATAACTTCTTTGTAAGGACCGGTGAGTTTGTCATTTCAACTTCCCAAACAAAAACAAACAAACAAAAGGTTTGGTCCACTTATAAAGCAACACTGTAACAAACAGTTTGTATGTACTCAAGGGAGTTAAAAGCAATGGGTCACACAGAAAATAGGTTGTGGCAGGCAAGTGAAGGAAGGGGGGGGGAAGCCAAACAAAAACTAAAAACAACTTGACATGAAGTCAGTTCAAAGAGAGAATCACAGTCTTGAAGGGGAATTCACAACTTGGTAGCCAAGAAGCCTGTTACTAGAGTGAGAAAACCAAGGATTCTGTCAAGCCAAAATAAAAAAGAAAAAACACTAAGGGAGCAATGTTTTTTTATGCCAGAAAGATCACAGGCAGAGTAGTCCGTGTTCACTTAAAACACATTTCAAGTTACAACATTCCTGTCATTAAGCTTTCAAAACCTACCAGCAAAGGATCTAACGCTGGTCTACAGGGAATAGCAACCTACTACTACTGTGTATTACTGCCGTAGCTCAAGCGATAAAGACTGCATGGAACAAGAGTCTAACTCCACTCATGAATGACAGGTTGTCAAGCAAATACTGTATATGAAACTTCAGTCTGTAATTTGCTTTAAAAGCTAAGCAGCTACACGAAGAAATATATTTTAAGAACAACATCAAAGTTACAAGAATTTCATTACCAAAACGTCAAAAGTTACAGACATCCTTAATTCAGTCCTTTCCTTTTCAGGAAAACTGTGGTATTGCTCACTTTCTCCTCACTCCTCCACAACTGTTTTTGTTATTCTGAGCATGAAGAGATGATACTTTTCAGCGTATTTCAGCAAGATTTCAATACACTTGTGTTTCAATATGCAGCTTTATGCTTTGTTTTAACATACAGCCTAATTTCTTCAAGGATTTCTTTAGAACTCTCATACTTGAAGTAGTGGGAAAGTGAAACACGCTAAGCAAGACAGTATGAATCCTGACTTTTTTCTGGTGGATTAAGTTCACACACAAGAGGTCAAAACTGCCCACTAGCTTTGGGTGCCAATTTTTAAAGCGCAATTCTTCCAGTGTATACACCAGCATATAAAAACTCATATATATTCAAAACACAGCTTCCATTGACTTCAGATGCAAAAGCAATTCCAAACATTTCTGCTAATCATACCGTAAGCACCACAAAATAAAGAACAGTGACTAGTCTTAAATGAAATGTAAACGTCTTAATTACCATTAAGATGGTAAACATCAGCATTACATCTTAATTACCATTTGCAACTACTTCGCAAATGCAGCATTCAAGTGCAATTCTTCAAAGCAGCATACTTAACACTGACAACATCTGTTTTTCTTTTCATATCCTTTATTCGGTAAACATCACCTTCTGCAATCATTGAAGCCCAGATAAGGAAGCACTAGAGGTCCTTCCTACACAGCTCCAATTTATCACTAAAGCAAGTCTACCTCAAGCACTGACTGAGGCCATGTCCTGTGAGGAAAGTATAGAGCTATAAACATGTTCAAAGATAAAAAAAATTAAAAATCAAAATTCTTATGGACTTTGGGATTAAATTCAAAGCTGCACAGGCAAATAGTTCTGGCATTTGCTAACTTTTTATTATCTCATTTTAACCTTTAAAAATCAAAGTAGATTTTGGTGTATCTTTCTAACTAATCTACCACGGGATTTTTGATTTATCTTGAAACTTCTGTTTGGTGCACATCTTCTATATATGCTCTACCTGAATGTAGGTGGTGACATTCAGGATCACTAAGCAAGCCTGTAAATTCTTTTGAAAAGACTGCAGAGCTTTTGAGCCCAACAAGCTCAAGAAGCTACATGTTGAAACCATGACTAAGAAAGTAAAAAAAAAACCACCACCACACCACCAGAAAAAAAACCCCAGCTAGTTGAGCAGAAAGGATTAGTTTGTTTAAAGTGTGGAAAGCCAAACTGAGTTTAGTTTTGGTTGGTGTGTTGGGGTTTTTTGTTGTGGTTTTTTTTGGTTTTGTTTTTGTTTTTTTTTTAAAAAAAAAAAAAAAAACAAAACCAAAAAAAAAAGACCACACAACATACCAGTATGGAAAGCTACTTATATTAATACTTATTATTTGTGTTTCTACTTGTCTTTAATGAGAAGGAACAATACAGCTGCTCACGAGTTCACCAGTAGGATGTAAGATAAAGCTCCTAAGTTATCCTCTGTCATGCTCTGAGAGCAGTTTCATAAAGGAAATGGCTTTGTTTTAACCTAAATAAGCTTCCTTTAATATTTACAAATAACATAGTGTTTTGATGTTTAAGAACAAAACTAAACAAATAATAGTATCCATGTAGGACAGCTTTTTTTTTTTTTTTTTTTAAATACATCTTTAGACCATCATTCACACTTCTCTGACGCTGCTACTTACAGCCACTTACTCTAGATTCCAGAAAGGTAAAATCCAACATCTACACTCATGTACAAAATCTAGAGCTAATAGGGAGAGATATCATAGGTTAGATTTTTACAGATCCTGCTTACTTTAAGTAAATCAGTAAAGGAAGACAAGCCTTTCAACTTACAGAGTATTAAGAGTGTTTGTTGTTGAAGTCTGTTCTAATTTTCTGTTTTATTCTAAACTTTTATATTAAAACACAACACTTTATTAAGGTCAAGAAATTTAAGTATAAATTTCTTCTGCATGTTGTCATATAAATTTGAGCTCCCAACATTATCCGTTCTCAAGAACGGAACAAAGAGGTTTGAAGTTCAAAGTGCACAAGTTAGAAATACAAGCTTACATCCCAGAGAACAGTAAAATAAGAGGTGGAGTCCTACTGGCAACTTTGTAGCAAACTTAACCCTCCCGCACCAACTATAATACATCTAATTTTAAAGCGGAAGTAATTTGACTTTTGTATTTGTTATTGCAACTGTGCATATGAACACATATTTACTAAAATTTATCTTTTTTTCTTCTTTCATCACACTTCCGATTGGAAAAAAGCCAAATTACCAGTTACACCCTTAGAAAGTCATGAGGATATAATTTCATCATCATACATTTGGAATGATGCTTTCCCGCTAGCAGGACTAAAATTTATTGTAAAGAAAATTCTAGAATAACAAATCGTTTGCATCCCTTTGCCAAACAGCTGGGAATATCTGAACATAGGTTGAACTGCCCTGTTATGCCTTTCCAAAAATTTTGCTTTCAATACTACACAAGTGTTTTTGACGCAAACCTCTGTAGCTCCTCAAAGTTTTAAACAGAATTGAAGACTCGAGTTTTTACACTGCAGCAATGCCATTGTTGTAGAATACAACTAGCTTTAGGAAACATAAAATGCAAACATTTTCTTTCTAACAGGAACATTTACACATACAAGCCAAAACATTTACAACATCGCCCTGCATGTATGTACCACTGCTTCTAACCCAAACTCAGAAGATGGAAAGTGAGCAAGCATGAGATGAAAAAGCAGAATTTCCAAGTTTTATTGCATCAACAAGTTCCGTTTCATTTTTGCTAGGCAAAAACTTTAAACCCGGTACCTCAGAAAAATTCTGAAATACAGATAAATTCTTCCCAAGTAAGAAGATTCCTGGAAAGATACGTTATAGAGGTAATACAGGTAAAGTATCCATGTGGAAGACCACAGAGCTCTCAGGATAAAAGTTGCAAATTTCAGCCTGACTGGAATGAAAACAAATAAACCCCACACAAGGGAAACAGTGTCACACACTTTTCTCAGGAAAGAAAAAAATACATCACTTGAAGTCTAGAGGGTTTAGAACATTAGTCAGGCTAAGCATGGTTAACCGTGTGCATGGAACCTGAGTGATGTTTGGACATGCCATTTCTCTCCGTATCAAATGGGAAATTCTGATCTGTTTCCAACCACTTGTAATGACTAACCCTACAGATTCTCACTGAGAGCTGAAGTGATTCATTTATGGCTCATGCATTCACATAAGCAATTAAATCTGTCTTCTAACACTGAACCTACCTTGTCAAACCAAATAGCTGAAAATTTGCTCTTCTGCATCAAGCATCTAGGTCTCAGTTGTGTTCAAAACATGAGAAAAGTCATACTTCTCACCTGCATTTCGGGTTAACACCACCACTCTCCTCACAGCTGAAGCATTTGTAGTTTATTCTCATGTGCCCTAACACTTGTAAAAAACCTACTTGTATGATACCCAAGTAGAAAGGAGTCTGTTCAGTCCGTATCTTCAGTATACAGCTATTAATCACCACGGATAACGCACCACTATAAGACCTACAACCACAGGGATTTCTTATACCTCTCTGATGAAAAAGCGAAGTAT